TGGAAAACACTTACGTGGGGATACTAAAATAATACAACAACAGCTTTGCGATTTCGTATTTGTTCAGACCCGCTCTCGAGATACACTCGGCATAGCAGAGTATAATGGGTCGTCCATCAGTGTCGGTAGTTCCTGCAACAAAGAAAAAAAAACGTTGAACGCAAGAAAGCTAAACTAAGAAAAACGACAAAATCATCCGATGTGTATGCATATACTCTTTCTATTCATTAAACGGTCGATTGAATGGGCATTCAGTCACAAGTGCTTATGTGTCAGTTTTATACTTCCTGTTGTTTGGTTCACAGCTAGAAAGAACGGCTGTCGTCAAAACTTTGATTGAGATTTCAAGAAAAGACACGTGCTTTGCATGGAATTCAAATGGTATGCTAATGGGGCAAGTGGGCTGCGTTTCCAGATGCCTGCAATGAGGAAGTTTTCAAAAATAATTGAAGATTTCATGCACGACTGTTACGAATGTAATTATAAATTTGTGATTTTTGATCAAATAAATAGTTTCTTTTAAAAGGCAGGATTATCTATTGATAACACTATTTCTTACATCAGAATAACAATACCGTTTCTCAGTATACGTTTCGCTGATCAAGTGAGCATCATCAGGAAAAGACTAACACTCATTTTTATGTCTTGAGTTATTGTTTCCATATGCATCTAAACAAATCTTTGCCCTATAACACGAAGAGGATCATTGATTTGATCCCTAGTACTTTGTTGTTGTTTCAAGAATCCAATATATTGCTATCCTGACGACAGCACCCTTGTGTCGACATTCCATTTGGATTCCAAAACATCAGCTGTGGATGTACATCTTCACCGGCAGTAAGAAGTTGCGTATCTTAATGAGGATATAAAAGTGATTTCGAATTAGTGTGAAATTAACCATGTTCAATTCAATGCCACAAAACCCCAGGAATCGGTTTTCTCCAAAAAGATAAATGCCTCCGAACCAGATATAATAATATCAGGACAGACAATTCTACTTTCTGCTTCGATAAGTTTGTTGGGTGTTGAAATGGACACCAATATGTCTTGGCACAATCATGTCGCTGTTTGTAAGAATGTTCCAGACCAGAAAACTGTACACACTTTTCTTGATAGTTGACAGTTTGGAACATCGAAGGAAGGTTGGAGATTTATTTCTCATTCATAGATAATTTCACGGGAGATCTTCAAGTGATTTGGCACATTCCCATCCCATCCCATCCCATCCCATCCCATCCCATCCCATCCCATCCCATCCCATCCCATCCCATCCCATCCCATCCCAAAATCAACAGTTTGACCCATGTAAAAATTAGGGAAAAAATCCAGATATGTTGTCTAGCAATTTGATGAACGGATTCTAAGCGATCGATCTTTCCATTATTGCGCAACGCGTTTGGCGTTCTGATGTAGAAACATCGGGGGTGTAAAGAATAATTTAGACAATGTATAAACGATCATTCCAGCTTCGTTGCATGATCACACATTCCAGTTTGAATACGCATAGAGCCTTTCAATGCCTAAATGGATCCTCACATGATACATCAAAGAGAATTTTATGTCCACATTGCGAGGAGACATGCAGGCGCAGGACACATTTCTTGTTATCATTCTCTTCGCGGAACGCGATTGCCGCTGGTTTTCTCACGGTCCGCGAACAGTTTGACCTTTGCTGATTACCATAGACTTCTGGAATCGAGAAACAGCACTCATCGCATCCTTGTGTGTCGGTCGAGTGCAATGGATCACTGAATCTCTTCTGGCGATAGCTAAAGCCATCGAAAGTGGATCAATAATAGTGATTATTACCTGCTACGTCCGGTCCGACGAACTCGTGGAATGGAGGCGTAGCGTTGAGTTGAGATATATTCAATTCATAAGAAAAGCATCCTATTAGACAAGTCATGAAGAATAAATATTGAATAATAATAAATATGTTTCATTGTCCAAAGAGAAATTTTTATTGACAAAGCTTTGGCAAACATTTGGTAAACATGATACATCTCATTTTAGTGTTCAATGAAACTAGTTTTTGAGTTGCCTCAACTTCTAAAATGAAAATACCAACAAAAGGCAGAAGCTGGATTCTTTTGAACAAATTACGACCCTCAAGACCCTATGCGATACATTTGCAAACATTGTAACTATTATCATTTGTATTGAAACTATATTCTGGTCTGCAATGGTTTTTCTATGTATAATTAGGTATATCATTCAAAATTTGCTTCAAATGTCTCAAAAAATAACATTATCTGTTGAAATTAATACTGATTTTACCACAAAGAGTATGAAATCTGAGATTACTATCAACATAAATGCCTAAACATTTTAAACATATTTATATCTATTCTATTCCATTCCATTCTATTCTCTATTCTATTCTATTCTATTCTATTCCATTCCGTTCCTTTCCGTTCCGTTCCGTTCCGTTCCGTTCCGTTCCGTTCCGTTCCGTTCCGTTCCTTTCCATTCCATTCCATTCCATTCCATTCCATTCCATTCCATTCCATTCCATTCTATTCTATTCTATTCTACTTTATTCTATTCTACATTCTATTACATTCATACGAATGATGCAATGAAATCTGAACCCTGACCGAGGTGGAATGTGCTGAGACGACGTCAACACTAGAAACGCACAGACCACTGCCAAGAACTCGGACCAATCGAACAAACTGATGAGGAAGAAAGTGAGAAGGATACTTTGAAAGTTTATACATATTCGTATACAGTGTGTTTCACTTGATTGATATTTTTAAGCAGATGTAATTCGCATATTTAACCAGAATTGATTTAATGAAATGAACATTACTTTAGTAGCACGGTCATAAACCTATAGGTACGTTCTCAGATTATGAAACTGAACTCATATAGATAAATAAATATACTCATATAAATGAACAAATGGATCTACACATTACACAGTACATTTAGGGGCTCAAGTTGAAAGATAAAAACAGATAACAAGAACAAAAACAAAAAAAAATGCAATATCGGGCTGATTGTAATCAAAAGTAAGATATTCCTCAGTTGAATGAAAATAGTTATCCAGTAAAAAGTGTATGACTTCAACTTTGAATGAGCTAATGGACCTAAGATGATCTAGTAGATCATTGTATAATTTGATTGTTTTGCATGATTTATTTTCACTACCCCTTTCAAATAGGCTAGATCCATGTAGAGGTATTCTCAGATTGTTTATAGAGTGCATTGTTCTATCACTGTCAGTAAACTTGTCTAAATTTCTTGTAAATCGCTGGTTTTGACAAAATTGAGCAACTTGAATATATACAAATAAGGAAGTGGTAATATTCCTAGTTTGTTAAAGAGAGGTCTGCAAGGCTCTAAAAATGAGTTCTCACAATACGTTTTTGTGTCAGAAACACTTCAGTTTATTTGACAAAATGGTTTAGACTTTCACGGCTGAGGTTTCCAGTGTCACTGCTTTTCGAGTTTGAAAGCCGTGGATTTTTCGAATTTCTTCCTGACGTTTCGCTGGCGCGAGTGGATAGCTTCTTCAGAGGTTTAACCATAATGGCTTGCTGTCATCGGACAGCAAGCCATGATGGTTGAACCTCTGAAGAAGCAAGCCACTCGCGCCAGCGAAACGTCAGGAAGAAATTCCAA